CCTATGCAACGACGTGGCGGCTGTTCATCGCTTAATCAACGCTAGTGTATCAAGTTTGCGAGTGACCAGCAAGGTGTGTGCAAAATGTATGAACGAATAGATATCGAACAGATTTACTGTACATGTGAGTAAAGGGTGTTTGTATAATGGACAAGAGGATAAGTGGACAACGTCGGCCGGTAGATGGGACATGGTTACGTAATGGGTAGGTGCACGAGTGACACTTGCGTATGGAGACAAGCGGAATGGAATAGCAAATGGTGGTCAGCTGGCCGTGATGATACTCTAGCGGAATGTTCCAATTGCCAGCTGGCTGCTTTGGTATTCTTTCCAAATGCAAATATATTGATTACAACAAAAAACGAGTTCAAAGTACCTTTCTTTATGAATTTCTCCTTTTTTCTACAATTCCGCGAAATTTTTCATTTTCCGCGATAGCTAACAAATTCTGCGATTTTTCTGTGTTTGACGGGATCGCGGAAATGTGGGGGTCCTTACCCATCGGTCTTCGCTGGGTGGCACTTTCCAAGTTCCTTCACGACCACCCTTTCTAGACAACTCAATGGTTAGTAGTCGAATAAACTGAGTCTCAGTGTCTTTCTTACCCAAGATTAGAGAGAGATCGACGTCGCCTTTCCTTTAAAGCTAATCCATTACAAACAACAGATGAAGGTTTAAAAGCTGACAATTCGTTTAACGTGGAGCACGAGCGCCTCGCTTTGTCTCTGAGTGGGAGGGTACCCTCCGATACTCAATTGTTTTCTACCACTTGCCTCAAGTCAGGCAGCCCATGGTCAAATTGGTGCTAACCTGCAAATGCCATCTGCAGTCGACAAACACTTGTGTTCTCAATCTTCAAATGCTGCCTTGCAAACCTCAAACAGATCCCGGTGGAAGTATGCTCTCACAGTCGATTTCGACGTGCACCACGTTGCCTTGTAGGCCAAACTGTTTTATCAAACGTTCCGGTTAGAGTCTTTCAAGAAAATCTCCTCACCCCGCTGCTTTGGGGGATCGAAAACTAGATGTAGACCACTTCGACCAAAGCCACTCAACAATGCATTGTTGATGGCACCTCGATTGGTGATGAAACATCTGTAACAACAGTACTGTGCTCAGCGAACGGTTTAACTGCCAACAAAACCACTATCGAAATGGGAATCAAGAAGCATCATTTAACCTCCTGGCCTCATTGCCAGAACTATTTCCTCTTGCCGTCTTTCTTTCGCAGTTGGTGTGTCGATGTATGTACCTCGGTCCCTCAAACCAAGCATATAATTTCATGCTAGTTACCACCACATCCACATTCTGGATCCTATCGGTCAGCGGACACCGCTGACCCTTCTACTATTGTTATGTGATGCGTCTCCGAAACATGCATACAAGATAACAGCGTTATGACTCATTTTCGACTCCCTGGTTTTGAATCTGAGCACAATGACTACACTCTTCGCGTATCTGGCGATGCTGAGCCAATGACGGGGTATTTACTTGGTCAGTATCGGCCTCAGCAAACATGCCGAAGGCTATCTACTCAACTGGATACCAGTGAGCAGGCGCATGTGTGCTGTTCAACTTCGGATCTGTATTGGGGTTAATAAGCACCGCATGTAGACCAGGTACCTTCTCGTCGCTTCCGTTACTGCCGCTACAGTCTGCAGTTCGGAGGGTACTAAAGATGATTTCTACTACCACCTTACCTCTCATCGCCACAATGCGAAGAATACTGACATCGTGGTTGTTGCTGATGATATAAGTACCCAAGTGCGTCGGCTTTCAGATTCAGAAAGGCACGTGGAAGACCGCTTTGGAGTCAGTGTACGCCGAGCAGATGATGGCGATCTTTCTCTACTACTGTATGCCGACCGCAATCCTTATATTAATAGCACTGCTTTCCAGTACGAATGTTCTCATCATGTAACTTGACGCCCACCGAATTCCTTATTGACCTGGACTCAGGTTGACCTTGTTGCTCTTGTGTGCGCACGTCTGGAGCTCACATTTCCCGCTTCAAAGAAATGCCCAACTCCAAGGCTTTTCTTTTTCAACCGGAACTCGTGGCCCCTAATCCAGCAATATTGTGACGAACAGGCTTACCCATTGTCAGTGATGAGGCAGGTGAGCCTAGTGCCAACTGGAATCGTCACAAGTTTGTCATGAAGAATGCTTCCGGTGCCTGCTGTACGTTCAATTTGAGACGTCCGAACTGTGAATATATCTCTGAGGTATCGATCAGTTTGCTCGAAACAAGGAAACAGATGCCAATGGGTACTGAGTTTCTGCGTGTCCGTCACGCCCTGGAACGACGACTGACATGGGGTCTTCGAATCAACTTGGATGTTAGTGGGTAGTAAGGGTTGTTCGTGAGATGGAGGGCAGTGCTATTAGGAACTGCCGAGTATCGTTCCAACTCATTCGGAGCACAAATCCGAAATTGTCCCCAGTTCGCATTATAGTAGTACATAAAAAGTCAAGACCAAATAAGTGTTGGGTTGATAATTCTTTTGTGAAAGTTGAAAAGCTAATTTCTTGACAATCCTTTAACTTATCCGATGAGCTACGTATTTTTAAGAGCAGTTTGCAGTCATTCTGAGTCGCCCGAACCCGTCCGGGATGTTGGGATCACACATCTCACTTCAGAAACTCTTCGGCATGAACTCTCCTCGTTGATTGGAGAAATGGTTTCTAAACCAAACGACTTTTTTCCACTTTTGCTAAAAGATGGATGATTCATCGGTGTATGCGTTCTGCTTAACACTAATTGGGACACCGTTGTAGGATACTTCCTTGAACGATCCCAATAACGTTCGCTTATTGTCGCTCCTACACGTCGAGTAGATGATTACTTCCCCGCGAAATCTTCCTGCCATATGGATGAACGGAAACCCTGTCATCTGAGCGGCGCACCCCCCCCCCAAGCGAATGTAACTTCATGACCTCACTACGAATCTGAAAAAAGCAGGCCTCTCGCACGAGCGCTTTCACCAACTCAGAGGTACGCGACACAGGTTGGAAAATCCTCTTATTTATGTACAAATGACTCACTATGCCGATGATGAGTTTTGGCGAGACGAGGTTACTCTTGAAAATCTGCTGCGTTGTGCTTTGGAAGTCGCGTGATCGCAATATGAGTACCATGCAGTGCAACCCTTTGATTGCCTATGCGAATACTGAAGTCCGTGTCGCAGGTGTGTATTTTTGCGGATTCAAGATGTTCCTGCAGCAGACTGAGGTGTCTTCAGACTGGTGACTGTCAACCTTCGTCCCTGTCTTTAAAGGAAGTCCAGAGAAAATCAAAAAAATACGGCCGTGTAGTAAGATGGTTCTTTGTGTAAGCGGTACTTTGTAACTGTACACAAAGGAGGAACACAAGAGCACACGGGCATTGCTTCCTATTCTAGTACAGATATTTCCTCCAACTGCACAGACGTCTATTAAAAAGAAACGGCGAATCGGCCTTATTGCGGAAAAAAAACCTTATTGAAACTGTTGTGGAGAATTCTGAAGACAATTTTGAGGCAATTTTATGCCACCATTCTCCTTCCACTTGTCAGGATCATGGGATTTGTGTGGTAGAAAATGGGTCAGTACCCTAATCTCCGCTGTGTTTGGAGCTATCCGGCCTGGAAGTAATCGACCAGTCGGCGTTGGCGAGTAGTGCGACGCGGTGACGTTTGAGACAGCGATTCAAAGTTGATCACATGTAAGCCGATCAGCGCTTGAGTTAGTGCCTCTGACTCATCGCTTGCCTCTGAGATCGACGTTCTTGGTCGCACATGCTCCATGTAACGTCGCACAATTCCACCATAGTTTCTGCTTCCACTATCCTTCCGTTGGCCTTTTCGACATTGGCTGGTTGTCACTCGGACATTAATAGTAATTGATATTGGTACGGTTCCGTCTCCACGGCAAACACCAATGCGTCATCTTACCAGTGCCTACACCACCACCAGACGCCTTTGTGCGAAAAGCATAGAGTCATTAACCTTCTTTCCATTGTCTTCGAACTTCTCAATGGTATCATCCTGCAACCACTCAATGATCCTCGTGAGAGCCAAGTTGGCTTTCACTTTGGTTGTTGGTTGCATTGATCACATATTTACTCTTTTTCAAGTGTCAGAGCGGAGATACGCTTGACTTAGAAATCGTCATCGACCCTTTAGACCGTGTCGAATTGTGTTACTACCTATCCGTGAATGGCATGTCAAGAAAACCTTTCAGTTCTAATGTCTCACTACTGCGACTCTTAACCTTGGCTAACGGTCTACGATACGATGTCTCTTGAGTTCCCCACACGTGGGCTCCTGCTATGGGCCCAACACTCCCGAAGTCAGAAGCGATTTCCGACGCTCGGATTGCTTGCCGGTGTACAATGTCTTCGAGGAAGACAAGGCGCAGTAACTTTATTTAGTGGCGAGTCACATCCACCACGTTGCAGTGTTGTTAAGCAGGCATTTTTGGCTTCCCAGGCGAAAATCCACTACCTCCTGGGACACTGCCGCCGAACCGTCCGCCGGAACGGAAAATTCTTAAGCCGACACGCTGACACCACGGGATGGTCGTTTGGCAAGCAAGCCTAGCTTATTATCTTCAGCCAAAATGCATAGACGTATCACCATCCTCCTACCTACACAAACCACACATGTACACAATCTGGCACCGTGGTTCATCTCGAATTATTTTACCAGGTCATTGGCTTCAGATTCTGAGCACAGGTATGTTATACATATGTACTTCAACCACAACCATGAAACCTCTCTCGTTCCTATTGCTAAACTGCAGCGCATGAACCTGTTTGCATTGCTGACCGTGCCATCTCGCACCGTGTACCCCCACAAAAGCGCTTGTTGACCTTCACCTCGCTTTTTAGTGTTCATTATGTACTTGTGGCGACGCTCTCATTACTCAGGACAGTTTCACGTCCACCCTTTTCTCGTACCATTCGTAAAAGACGTTGTGATCATACGGCGGTGCCTGTTTTTCATTATTGTCCCTTCTAGACTATGGATGAGGGAGTCCGGCTGTTCGGGATCGAGCATATTGTCCTAGACAATTTGCAGTTTCTTCTTGGTGCTGGTGGAACTCGTTTTGATGATCGGTTTCATCGTCAAGACCAGTTTGTGCAAAAACTGCGCACCTTCGCCAATGAACGGCCTGTGCATTTGACCGTCGTGGCTCATCCCAGAAAGGAAGATGTAGATCGTCCACTCACCATATCCAGTCTGTATGGGGGTGGAAAGCTGGCACAGGAAGCCGATAATGTGTTACTTATCCAAATGGAGACAAACACTGCGTATCCGAAAAAATTTGTCCAAGTATGCTCCCTATTTGTTGTCGCGGTCTGTTTCACTCTGTTCCCTCAGGGGTTAATCATAGCCCGAGTATCATGTTACCTTGTTCTCCCCTAGCTCCGACGTTTCTTCATTCTAAAATCGGCGTACAAGGGTTACCAGTGGCGACCAAGATTTTGTATAGGGTTATATGCTTCCTTTTTCGGATTATGAATTGTTCACCCCATCCCATCTGACCGCAGATGTCCCCCCTGGTATCCTATCGTCAGGTATCATCACCCCATTGCGAAAAAGCATCATTTTGCCGCTGACTGTGATTCGGACTCCCCGATTCATATCAAACGATTAATTAACTGAAGTTCATGACTCGTATGCAACTTTGCGCCTCTTCCCCCATGTTTCTCTAAACTCTCACTAGACAACCCGATGTGCAACGATGGATCCTCGTTGCCTCCTTCACCACACTGTGTGTTTGTAGCGACAGAGATCAACCTTCAGCGTGTGTACATGTCGTCATGTAGTCGTTTTTTAGTTTACGAGTTGTCTACCTTTTTGGATTCCCACTGCTTCATCTTGTAGAGCAAATCTTGGCAGTCTACGATCGAACCCTGGGTGACATTTCGGCAAAATGTCACAGTGTGTTGCTGGTTGTGATTTTTGACTCCTAGCTTAGGCGAAACAAAACAGTCCTTATGCAACAGATCTTTACTTTAGCTACATGTCCGATAATTTCAGCTGCCCGGACCAGCACACACGCCAAGATTTTGCGACTAACAAGTCAAGTCTGGTCTGAATAGACATTATACATTATCAGAATGTTATTCCGCCGACTGTTGACATGCTAAATTGGTCTCACAAACAGTGCGGAAATAGCACAAGTGGAAAATGACATGCCAGATATTACTCGCGTAGACGGTCCTGCATCACAGTAGCATCTCAGCAAACGAGCTTACTGTGTACGTTAAGGCGGAATTATGGTGTTGTGCAGTGCGATGAGCTTTAACTATAAATCTGGAGCGAGTAGAAGAAGCGGTGCTTGTGCTAGAATACTGTGCGGGATGTGAACATGGTCATGTAGAATCTTACGAGAAAGACAGATCAACGCATAGAATTTACTACTGCATCGAAAATCAAGCGAACATTCCCTAGTTAATTCCTCGCATCCGAAACTAACCTTCATCGACTTTGAGAACAGAGTGTGTTCCTTCTGTAGATGAGTTGAACAGTGCGGCCTTTAGGGGAGAACGTATCCAGTGACGAAGTTGAAAATCAACTCACTTGGTGCTAGGGACAATTTTGGCTTCAGAATAATAGCGAATAGCCTACTTACTTTACGATGCATTTTGCTAAAATAAGTCAATCTGGATAAGTTTCGCGACAAAAGACAGTAAGATACTTGACGATGGATGAACTAGGTTTGACTTCTCCAATAGCATGCATGGTAAGGTGGGTATTTGAAGCAGGCCGCAGCTTATTATCATGTGGATAAGGCAATATTGCGTCACAATATTTAAAAGCTTCGAGCTCACGTGACTTAGACGATGAGTGTCTCACAAGTCTATCTGTTCTTTGTCAGAGCGTCAACAGTATCTCAGCCTTAGGGGCGATTGTACTGAGGGCAAAGCTTTCGGCATAATTGTAACTGGTGGAGATGGATCACAAATAGAGGCTCTCAGGGTACAAGGAAAAAGGGAGAGGAGGAAGCATAGCTTCTTATAAAAGGCTAATTGATCCGAAGTGTCAGTTTCTTTTCGACTTGAACTAGATAAAGCGAACGGATTTTGTAAAACAGTCATTGGTCTGCATACACTTAGATGGTGGACGCTATTTCCATTCAACAGGTATAGCACCACGTCTGTCAAAAGCTCCGAAAAATTTGGATAATCAGGGAACGGAAGGCGATCTGTCCCACCTTTTTAGCTAATGCTGATGCAACCGAATTCGCGCGAAGCGCTAACCATCTATCTTTATGTGTATTTTGGTTTCGTCAATGTATTTCTTTTGTTTCTACTGGCACTATTGCACGTAACATTTATCACACATCGCTGCGTTTGGACTGTGTGAACCCGTTCCACTGATTGGATTTCGTCCTATGCAAACACCCATCGCCGCACAGTGTTTGACTGCACGTGTTGAAAACGTGGACAATATGCTTATTCGTCTCTGTGTTCACTCCGAATACGGGCTTCGGGGACTAGATTATCGCTGAGGGCTGTACTCCATGAGTAGTGCACAGTCTGCCTAAGCGTAATATCTCATGGATTCACCGTCTCATAGTGGATACATGCTGAAAGAGTGATAGCTTACTCCGAAGCAACCTGCATGTCTACAGGCCGTACTCCCTTACGGGGCAGGCGTGCCGTGACAGTACATCCATCTTGATGAGAGCATCTGTGAACAGTGCGCACAGGAATTCACTGTTTCACCTCTCTTCTGCGTGCTCCTCAACGTATGTGTGGTTTTTTTTCTCCTTCGTAGCATTGCACCTCACCTTGTAGGCTTGCTTGTGCGCTATAATACAAAGGCCTCCCTGCAGACTGCACAATTAAGAACCTGATCCACCAATTGGATTGCTCATCATGATAATCTTCATCTATTCACCGTGGCTCGTTTTATTTTTATCTATAACATTACCAGCAATAACAATGCCACGAATTTCCATGTGATATATCACTCATGACTGGGCCTTCAAATCAGCTGTTGCCTTTTCATTGCGCATCATTTTTACTTTATCTACAGTGGATATAATAAATTTTATAAGAGCGCTTTGACAGTTATTTTTGTCCAAAGTACTTCCAAAGTCAACAAGACTAATACTTTGAATGCGAAGCCAAGATGCCGCGCACTGTTCGCGGTCTGTTGGTTTTGGTCACGAACTTTGGCCATTTGAAAACAATTAAGTAGAACTGACCTCATAAAACTATGCTCTGTCGGCTGGAAAAAAGTGAGGAATCTGTTTTTCCATATGCACTCAGCGCTCAAGAACACGGGCCCTTTTATTCGAGTGACACCAATGCGCCTTTTTCCATTTCTGTATCCATTTGTAAAATTTTGCATTTGTCATGATTTCATTTTACTCAATCCGGCGTTGATACCATAAATTGCTGAAACTGCGCCTATTTGGGTACATAAAGCTTACCTTGACTTGAGTGCGTGCTTCACAAATGAACACAACGTCTCATTGTCCTTTAAGCGTCTGGTAGTGCAAAAGTATCTTTCGTTGATGTTGCAGACCTACCGCTTCCTCTCATCGATTGGACCAGGCCGAGTTAGCTTAGCTCCAGCTGTGCTCGATGGTTTGCGTCGTTTCTGTACTACATTTCTTTGAGTTTATTTTTACGTTTCAATTTTGTATGTTGGTACTACGATTGTCCACTGTGCTCATTCGCTTCACTTGCGTTTTTTGTATATTTCACGGGTTGGTCACTGTCCTTGCGAACTGGCTCACTTGTGCACATATTTCGATTTCGAGCTCCGCACTGAGCGACTACGAGTGCCGCCCTCAACAAGGCAGGTATGCGCGGCTTCGCTTCGCTGTGGTTCTACTCTGACAGTATGACACGTATTTGACGTCAGTGCCTGAGTAGTATGTCCAGTCTGAATGCTGTCGATGCGAATGCTGACAGCGCAGCCAACGGCTAACTCCATTATTCGTGCTCTCATTAGAGTGGTTTCATCCAACGTTGAACACCTTGCAGCTCGGCGCCGCCCTGTGTACCTCTAGTACACATGTTTCCTCAGACCGTACTTTAGTTATGTGCGTGGTGGCAGAGTGTTGGCCTACTGCGGATCAATTGTGCTCCAATCTGCGAACCACCCGTTTCCTCTTGATTATACAGTGAATATGCGGGGTGTGTGGATGCAGCTTTGGTCGTAGCCGAGCTAGCAACCCACGGCCCTTCCCTGTGCACTTGCATCCTGTGGTTGTTCGTAGTGATGGAAAGATTTGGAAACGAACGCTGCCAGACACATCGAGGAATTACCGCTATCCGATGGGGTATCGGTGTCTCTGCAGTGTGGGCTAAGTTTCTGAGTCAGAATGAACATTCTCCTTTGCCAAATAAGTTGTTTATGCGAGTGATAATGTGGTTTTAGGTCTTGGAAGCGAAAACTACGAAGCACATCAGTTCAGACAAGGATTGAATTCATCTGAAATATCCCTTCTGTTCACCGTTTTAAAATTGTTAGGCACATTAGTTGGACTTGGTACTTGTGTAGGTAGGATTGTTTTGGGCCACCTGTCTCATGTTTCCATTGTAAAGACCTATCTCGATTTGGGCGATAATTTAATTACTTTAAAGTCGGTTTACAAATTAAGAGGGTTAAAGCTGGAATGTGTTAGTTCCTGAGTATGTTTCTAAACAACTAAGTGCATGTGACTCGTGGTTTTCCGTTATCCAAATCAAACGATAGTGTTATGCACTTAACCATTAACCAAGTGACTCTGGCTGCATTTCCTAATTTCACAAGGATGGCTGCGGAAATCGCGTTCCATCTTTTCTTAGTACATTGCTGCTTGGTTTTCGCCGTCCCATCGAGTGACGATATGAGGCCACAGGTTGTCACATTACATAATGACTGCACATTGAAGATTCTATCTATCAGTGGCAACCTACATGGCCCCTTGTCCGTGGAGATTCCACTGGGGGCCGTGCTTGCTCTCACTGAAGCGGATTCAGCTCCCATTGCGATAAGCGCCGCACAAGTTGTCTCTGTAGTAGTAACTGACTAGTCCCACTGTTACACTCGTTAATGGACGTCTACTCGGTTCCCTTCCGTGTCAAAAATTTTGAACGAACCATTCCCCTTAACTAAACAGAGGGTTTTCGAAATATCCCTCAACGGAAACATTTCTACCTACACATCATTGCTACAGTTGTACTGCGTATCCAAGATATTCCCTTGTTTGTTTGGTGAATTACTTTAAAACCGTAATTTTGCTTGACGATTTAGCGCCAACATAACGAGTCGGTTTTCAAAACAGTTCCATTTGTATTAGTGCTGCGAAGAATACGCTTTGTGTT